GCTTGAGCCACATCCCCAGCCCCAAACCAATGCTTTTAATAGGAAAACATTTTTCTAAAGTGTTGTGTTGGTTTATTCTTATTAAAAATGTCCGTAGGAGTGGCAGGGAAAGAGTGGCAGAGCACATGCCTAGTATGGGCAAGGCCCTGGGTTTGATCCTTGGCGCTGAAAAAAAAAGTCCAAACATGCAAGTAAGAAGATATCCTCCCAGTTATTATGTAACCTCAAAACAAACAAATACACAAATTAAAGTCATATTCAAAGCACTTTGAGCATTTTGAGTTTAATGCTACAAATAATACTGTTTGGATGAAATGAATTGGCTGTGAGCTGGTGTTGGCTGCTTCTATACACCTTTACTATTTGTGATATGAGGGTCCATTTTCTCACCTTGTTTCTCCCTAGAATCACAGGGAAATATTTGCTTGACATGATACTATGACATCATTTGTGCCCTGTGCCATGCTCTACCTTTGGCTTAAAAACATCATTTATGTATTAGGTTATTTTTGATCTTATTATCTCCTTAAACATGTAGTGTTATTTACTGGTTCTAATGTGTCAGACACCAAAACAAAATAAATACGTGTGATTATGTGATCACTGACATTATTTTTGGTGATAAGACAATGATATAGAATGAGCCTATTAATTGTTTTAGATTATCTTTTGAAATTATGCTTTAAGTATATGAAAATGATTTCTCCACTTAATTGTAAGCTCCACAAGGGCAGGCACCATTTCACCATGCTTGCCATGTGGTAAGCACCTATAGATTGAGTCCTGCTCTCATTGGGTTTTCTGTGCAGGTTTGCAGGAATCTACATTTCCTTTGAATTGTATATATTGTTTTCTTCAACCAGGAAAAAAGAAGAAAAGTTGGACTGGATGTACCAGGGTCCTGGTGGGATGGTGAATCGTGATGAGTACCTGCTCGGGCGCCCCATTGACAAATATGTTTTTGAGAAGATGGAGGAGAAGGAGGGGGGATGTTCTTCTGAGACAGGACTCCTTCCGGGCTCTATTTTTGCTCCGTCTGGTGCCAATTCCCTGCTTGACATGGCCAGCAAGATCCGGGAGGACCCACTCTTCATCATCAGGTGCTGCTGAGGGTCTGGAAGGGGGTTTGTTACAGGATGCTTGGAGACCCTGCAAAGGCAGTGGGTTGCTGGCTTTGCAGTTGGTTTTCCCTTGACTTTTATCTGTCAAGTAAAAGGATTTGTCTCCATTTGCGCTTCCTGATGTTGGGAAGGAGGCTCCATTAACATTGTCAGTTCTTGGCTGTACGGGAAGGTATTGGCAAATGTACCAAACCAGACCAGATTTATTCATTTGTTCCTTAAACAAAAATAGGAGGTTGAAGCAAGGTGACAAAGATTGGCAACTTCTTGGAAAACTGGGGATCTGTGTGAAGTTGGCTAAGTGGGTGAATAGGCCTTCTTATCTTCCACTTCTTTTTTGCGAGGTGGGCAGCAGCACCCTTTAAAAAGAAACTTCAGATGGGTGAGGCCCAGGTTCGATCCTCAGTACCACATACAAACGAAGATGTTGTGTCTGCCGAAAACTAAAATGTAATATTTTTTAAAATATTAAAAAAAAACAAACACACATTACAGATCAGGGCTGAGAATACAGCTTAGTCAGTAGAGTGCTTATTTAAAAAAAAAAAAAAAGAAAAAGAAACTTCAGAATTTTGAAACCCCAATGTGTGACAGATAAAAGTAGAGCTACTTTTTGGGTGTTAAATGAGACCATACTATACATATTTATTTTGGTTTAGTTTGCATTATTTTCTTTTAAAGTGTGTAAGAATAAACATTGAAAAATATTTATTTTTATTTAAAAGTTTTTCTTTTGCAAATTTTCTTTAAAGTTATTTATCTATTAAAGATATTGTATGTGTTACAAATGTTTTGTCCCATATTGTTAGCTTCCTAATTTATTATCGTAAAATATAGGTAATAATTTACCTTTTTAGCCACTTTTTAAAAAAAATATTTATTTTTTAGGTGTAGATGGACACAACACAATGCCTTTATTTTTATGTGGTGCTGAGGATCGAACCCAGGTCCCACCTGTGCTAGGCGAGTGCTCTACCGCTGAGCCACAATCCCAGCCCCTGTTTTGTTTTTATTGGTCGATTTATATTATCATTTTTAATGTCTCTGTTGAATGGTTCTGCCATGACTTATTTTGTTAATATTCTATCATTGAATCCCTAACTTGTTTCCAAATTTTCATTGTTATAAAATGAAAACTTCATAGCGACCTTCCCTGATTTTTCCTTATAGTAACAAATTCTTTCTCTCTCTCTCTTTTTTTGTACCAGGGATTGAACCCAGGGGCGCTTAACCACTGAGCGACATACCCAGTGCTTTTTTGTATTTTATTTAGAGATAGGGTCTCATTGAGTTGCTTAGAATCTTGCTAAGTTACTGAAGCTGGCTTTAAACTTGCAGTCCTCCTGCTTCAGCCTCCTGAGCCACTGGGAGTACAGGTGTGCATCACTGGGTCCAGCTAGTAGCAAATTCTTGAATTTGAAAATACAATTCTAGAATTTCTGAAATGAAAGAGTATGAGCTGACCAGGCATGGTGGTGCACACCTGTAATCCCAGCTACTAGGGATGCCAAAGCAAGAGGATCACAAGTTTGAGGCTATCCTGGGCAATTTAGTGAGATCTGTCTGAATATAATAAGAAGGGTTAGGGATATAGCTCAGTGGTAGAGCATTGGGTTCAACTCAGTACTACCAAAAAAAAAAAAAGTTTGTGTTGATTGTGATAAGTGTTGTCAAATAATCCTTCAGGAAGGTTGATCAATTTACCCTCCTATTGAGAGTATATGAGAGTAAAATTTCTTAAAAGAAGAATCAGGGTGGGCATGGTGGCACACGCCTGTATCCCAGTGGCTTGGGAGTCAGAGACAGGAGGATTGTGAGTTCAAAGCCAGCCTCAGCAACAGCAAGGCGCCAAGCAACTCAGTGAGACCCTGTCTCTAAATAAAAGTACAAAATAGGGCTCAGATATGGCTGGCTCAGAGGTTGAGTGCCCCTGAGTTCAAGCCCCAGTACCTCCCCTACCAAAAAAAGAGGAATCAGTGCATTGACTTTATTTTCCAGGTGATTATTATGATAAAAGATGGAGGTCTTTGAAATGTTGCAACCAATCAATATATAAGGTGACACCCATTTACTTGACCAGGTGGGAAGCCTTGAGTATGATGCCCAATGAGAAAAAATTTTAACTTACTGTCTTGCATGGCAGTGTCCCATAGTAGACTTTCCCCACAATATACAGTCTCTTATGCAGATTTGGGGGAGATTTTTGGCTTCCATGCCATCCTGTAGATTTCAACAAAGCATTTCTTACAATGGTGGTTATATAGAATTTGGAGAGGAGAATGATTTAATCTTCCTTCTAAGAGAAATAATAATGATTTTTATAATGTCTTCCATTTAGGAAGAAAGAGGAGGAGAAAAAAAGAGAGGTATTGAACAATCCTGTTAAAATGAAGAAAATCAAAGAATTGGTAAGTCATGCATCAAATAAGCATAAAGTAGCCTTTAGGTACTTTTTTGTTTTGTTTTGGTATGGGGGATTGAACCCAGGGGATTGAACCACTGAACTATATCTCAACCCTTTTTTAAAATTTTATTTGAGACAGGGTCTCTCTAAGTTGCTGAGGCTGGCTTTGAACTTGTGATCCTCCTGCCTCAGCCTCCCAAGTTGTTGGTATTATGGGAATATGTACCATCACATCCAGCTGTCTTTTAGCTACTTAATATAAGATCTTCCCTCTGTTTCTTCCTACCAGGGAAAACAGAATGATGTTTAAGACTTTTCTTTTAGACACCATCTCTTGGTGATATTTATGCAATCTTAATAAGTTTAAGTAAGCTCAATTTCCTTTTTTCTCTTCTGGTTGGAAAAAGCACCCCTGTACTCACATATTTTCAGGAAAAGAGGGGTGTAGGCCATGCCTATGGAATCAGGTATGTAGTATGCACAGGGGATTGGAGTGTCCTCTGTTATGGCTCACCATTCACATAATGTATGGTTACTCTTTGAGCAGTTGGTAATTTTTGCAGTCTCTGATTACTTCCAAAGGAGATAGAGTTTCTTTGAGTGGAAAGAATGGAAACTCCTAGGTAGTGGTTCTGGTGATGTTTAAAACACAGATTCCTAGCACACTCACCAGAGGTTCTGTTTGAGAATCTAGGGTGCATTGTGTACAACCAGGTTTGTTGACACGGAGCTCCTGAGAATGCCCTGGACCCCTATAGAGGCATGGCATCAGTTTGTACATGAACCAGTCCCCTCAGAAGGGACTGATAAAGGTTTCAATAACCTTGAAAGTTTATGTTCTGGACACTTTTTAGTTGCAAATGAGTTTGGAAAAAAAGGAGAAGAAGAAAAAGAAGGAGAAGAAAAAGAAGCACAAGAAACACAAACACAGAAGCTCGAGTAGTGATCGCTCCAGCATGGACGACGAGCCCAGCCGGGGGAGGTGAGCGAGTCAGGCATCCTCCAGCACTGACTCACTTGCCCATTCATTCTTTCATTCCACAACAGGAACTGGAAACTGCCCCGCACTGGGGTTTCAGTGGTGAACACTTGGACGTAGGCTTTGTGCCAGTTTGTTTTCTAGCATTAGAATTCCCTGGAGATGCTATATGTGGGTGGGTCTCCTGGTGTGCTACTGGAGAGACACCCCTAAGAGAACTGATCACAGATCTTAGGTCGACTTCCTGGCATGACTGTTTCATCTTAGCTGAGTCCTCAGGACTGCCATGGGATTCACATAGGGTTTTTTTTTTTTTTTTTAATGGATGAATGGGCCTATGACTGCCCCTTCTGTGTCTTTCCATCTTCCCTGTGGGAATAGTCAGCTCTGCTCCTGCTGACTCACCATGAGTCTCTGGAATAGAAACATGAGGTGAGAGGAGAATGTGTTTAGGCATTGGGGCTGAGAAGCTCGGCCCACGGTTTTTCACAGGGAAAGCTTAACTGTGCTGATGCATCTTCCAGCAAAGATAGTCCAAATAGAGAAACATACTGCCAAGTAATAGCTGGGAAGTGGGGAAGGTCACACTGGAACCAGGACGCATGTTTCAGCATGAGAGATTTGAAGTGGACCTGTATGCATTTTCTTTTTCAATGAATATGTATTTTTTAATCTCTTAGATCTCAAAAGAAGATGGCAAATTCCTTTCCTGCTTTGTCTAAAGTCCCTGGATATGGCTTACAGGTAGGGATGTGGGCTTCTCAAAGGGAGTGACAGTGGGACTGTGACATGTGCCACCTTGACTACTGCAGATAGCAGGGAAATTGGACAGTGGAGGCTGGGGTTGCTGGGGAACAGGCCCACTTCTTATCCCTGAGCTTCTTACATGCCTGAGCGTTCTCTAAGCAAACAGAATCACTTTAGATATTCTGCCTATCTCTCTGCAGTCAACATGAAATATATACATTTTAAGTGTAGAGGTTAATGGCTTTTTACCTGTGGACATCCCTTCGTGTTTTTAACTTTTGATGCTGCCCTCCCTGCTGTCTCTTACTCTTCCTTAGGCTCTAGTGAAGACCTAAGCCAATTTAAGTGGTGGGGTGGGTACTTTCTCTTAGGAGGTTTTTTTTTGGTGTGGGGTGGCGGGTGGTGGCGGTCCTGGGGATTGAACCTAGGGCTGCTCTACCACTGAACTACATCCCCAGCCCTTTTTATTTTGAGACCAGGGCATGCTAAGTTGCCGAGGCTGACCTCAAACTTACAATCTTTCTGCTTCAGCGTCTTGAGTTGCCAGGATTACAGGCATGTGCCACCATACCTGGCTGTTTTAAGGGATCCTGAGATAACTGTTCAAATATTTTATGCTTTTCTGTAATTATTGTGATTCCTTACAAAATTGATTATTTTATTTTTAATTTTTTTTGGTCCTGGGGATTAAACCAAGGGAGTGTTTAGGCGTTTAACCACTAAGTGACATCCGCAGCCCTTATATTTTATTTTGAGACAGGGTCTCACTAAGTTGCTCAGAGCCTTGCTAAATTGCCTAGGTTAACTTTGCACTTGCGATCCTCCTGCTTCAGCTTCCTAAGTTGCTGGGATTTCAGGCATGCGCCTCCGCGCCCAGATGATTTTATTCTTTTCCTTGTTTTATTGCATTGCCTTTTGAACTACTGGATTTTCCTATGAATAGCTTTTTTTTTCACGCCCCCCCTCTTCCTTCTCTTAATGTTACAGGTCAGGGACTCTGACCGTAACCAGGGACAACAGGGTACTCTGATGGCTGGGCAGAAGGGAGCGTATGGGATGAAGAACCGTTCCCGGTCTAGAAGCTCCTCGAACTCACCCCTTAGAAATACCGGCAGGAAGAGCAATAGGGAAGCAGGGTCCCGGGACAAGAGGTCTCGATCCCTAGGCAGAAGGTCACGGTCCCCAAGGCCCAGCAAACTGTGAGTGTGGAAATTCATTGTGGTATAAACTGTGACTGCAGGGGCCTGGTCACAGTGGTATTTTCTTTTGGTGATGTCCACCCATCAGCTTTCCTAAATGTCTTTGCTTTATTACTTCCTTCATATTATTTTTTAAACTTTAATGTAAGCTTTCAGTCCCTACAACCACACATTTATAGGAATATATTATACTGGTACAATATCCTCTCTCTCATCTTTCTTATGGACTGGTTTTAAGATGGCTAGCTCTTTTTTTTTCATTATTTGAAGAATAATCTCTGGAAAATAATCTCTGTGTCCATTACAGGCACAACTCTAAGGCAAACAGGAGAGAGAGGGACCAGACTAAGAGCCCATCACCTAAAAAGGAGGTCTATCAGAGGCGGCATGCTTCTGGATATACCAGGTAAGTTATGAGGGCAGTAGATTAACTTCATATTCTGCAGGCCCTAACCTAGGAGTGGCCCACAGCAGGGCAAGTGGGTAATCTATATGACCTGTTTGCCACACCAACTCTTATTTATCTGGGCAGCTTTTAATAGTCTTCCCCCACTCTCTCATACCTTGTTAGACACATTGAAAGGACAAAGTCAATAGTGTTGATCTAATAAAAACTTTAAGTGAGAGTCTTTCATCATATATTGGTCTGGCAGTACTCATAGAGGTTTTCACCTAGAAATCTATTTTTTAGTTGTCAATGGATCTTTTCTTTCTTTCTTCCTTCCTTCCTTCCTTCCTTCCTTCCTTCCTTCCTCCCTCCCTCCCTCCCTCCCTCCGAGGATTGAACCCAAGGTCTCACGCATGCCAGGCAAACACTGTACCATTGAGCCACAACTCCAGCCTCACCTAGAAGCCTTTTTAAATATTTTGGCTTTATTACTTTTCTTTTCTTCCTTTTTATTTTTTAATAACACGGTTATTTTATTTATTTTTTATGTGGTGCTGAAGATTGAACCTACAGCCTCGTGTGTGCTAGATGTGCACTCTACTGCTGAGCCACAACCCCAGCCTGGCTTTTTTACTTTTCATACTGGGGATTAAACCCAGGGCATTTTACCTCTGAGTATCTTCCCAGTCTTTTTTTTTTTTTTTTTGGTACTAGGGATTGAACTCAGGGGCACTCAAACACTGAGCCACATCCCCAGCCCTATTTTGTATTTTATTTAGAGACAGGGTCTAACTGAGTTGTTTAGCACCTCACTTTTGCTGAGGCTGGCTTTGAACTTGCGAGTGGAATTATAGGCGTGCACCAATGTGCCTGGCTTTTTGAGACAGGGTCTTGTTAAGTTGCCAAGGCTGGCCTTGAGCTTGCAAGAGGTCTTTATGTTATTTGATTGTTCCTTGTTTCTCTTTTTTACTTTGAAGTGCTGGGCATATAACCCAGAACCTTGTGCATGCTAGACAAGAGCTCTACCATCCACCTCTGATTGTCTCATTTTAAAAACCTCCTAGCCTCACTAAATGCTGTAATATATTTTATCTGAGTGAGATTTTATTTTATTTTTTTTTTGCAGTACTTGAATTGAACTCAGGGCCTCACTCAGGCTAGGCAAGTGCTGTACCATGAGCTATATCCCCAGCTCGAGTGAGATTTTAATTATTTGATTTTTTGGGGTATTAGGGATTGAACTTGGGGACATTCAAACATGGAGCGACATCCCCTGCCCTATTTTGTATTTTTAAAATTTAGAAACAGAGTCTCACCAAGTTGCTTAGCATCTCACTTTTGCTGAGGCTGGCTTTGAACTCTCAATCTTCCTGCCTCAGCCTCCCAAGCTACTGAGATAATAGGCATGTGCCACCACACCTGGCTTTGAGTGAGATTTTTAAAAGTTTTGTTTTTGCTTTGTCTTCTCCTAATTTCCCTTTTCTGTTTGTTTTGGTGTCTGTCATTCATTTTTTTGAGGCTTTCCTGAACTGTCTGGTGATATTTCACTTTGCATTCATATTTAAGAGTGAGGTATAAAAAAACTGAAACACTGTACCTACAGGGGTTTGTCTATTGGTAGGTGATTGGGTAGAGTTGAACTGTTTTTTCATCTGGGACTCTCAGCTGTCAGTAACTTTGATTCTTTTGTTAGGGACTGGTAAATTTCTCCAGGAAAAAAAAAAAATCCTCTAGTTGCCTGATCCTGGCTGTTGGCATTCTGAAAGAGGCACAGATCCCATCAGGACTGGGAGTCTCAGTGTGGAGCATGTGGGCTTCACTTCATCCTCTTTGCAGTATGGTGGCCTTGCCAACTTTCTGTGCTGTGCCTGATGCTTCTGAATCTTTTTTTTCCTGTATGGTTCAGTTTCTCCAGAGGGTAAACCACAGGGTCTCCTATAGATGTTTGGCAGAGTAATCTCCAGCTTCAAGTTTTGCTTGGGAATCCAGGGATATCTCAGTTGCCTCTGGCAAGCCTTTTTTGCAGGGGGTTGGGGGTACCAGGGCTTGAACACAGGGGTGCTTTACTACTGAGCTATATCCCCAACCATTTTTATTTATTTATTTATTTATTTATTTTGAGACAGGGTCTCACTAGGTTGTTTATAGCCTCGCTAAATTGCTGAGGCTGGCTTTGAACTTTCAATCCTCCTGCCTCAGTCTCCCAAGATGCTGAGATTATAGGTGTGCGCCACCATGTCCAACTGCCAAGATTGTGAGATTCTAAAAGTGTTTAAAATTTGGGTGAAAACACCTGACCAAGATGTTAAGAGGAGCCAGTGCTTGCCTGTAATCTCAGTGACTTGGGACAATCCTAAATTCAAGGCCAGACTTGGCAACTTAGACCCAGTCAAAAAATAATAAAGGGCTAAAGTTGTAGCTCAGTGGTAGAGCACCTTTGAGTTCAATCCCCAGTACCTCTGCACCACACTATGTTAATAGGAGGGAAACTCATGCTGGACATGGCACTGCTCTGGCCATTTCCTTGGAGAAAGCCATGGAAAGCTTGGGTCCTGCTGACCTTTATCTCCCTGTGCTGCTTCTGGGATTTTTGCTAGGAGTGAGGTAGAATTGATGGGATGGTTTTTGTGTTCAACAGAAAACTCTCAGCAGAGGAACTGGAACGAAAACGGCAGGAGATGATGGAAAATGCTAAGTGGAGGGAAGAGGAGAGGCTGAACATCCTCAAAAGGCACGCTAGGGAGGACGAACGGGAACGGAGGCTGGAGAAGCTAGACTCCCGGGATGGGAAGTTCATCCAGTGAGTACATTTCTTCCTGCCTGGGGCTCCATGGGATTGTTCTCAAGGAGAGAGTCTTAACAGAGGGGTTCAGTGTATTCCAGGTGTCACTGTGTCTGCAGGGAGAATATGGAGCTCAGCTTTAGGACCACCTTTTTTTTACCATTCGTAGCTTCTAGCCAGATAGTGGGAGGTTTTGATTTGGAAGAGGGAGAAGTGAATTAGTATTTTCTCTAAATCTCTGAAATTCTTTGGCATTTCTTATTTATTTATTTATTTATTTTGTTGAAGGACCTTTTATTTTATTCATTTATTTATATGTGGTGCTGAGAATCAAACCCAGTGCCTCACACATGCTAGGCAAGTGCTCTACCGCTGAGCCATGACCCTGGCCCTGCATTTCTTTTAAATAAGAATTAATGGCTCAGAAAGTCTTTTTTCCCAATGAGACTTTGACTTATTTTCAAAAGCAGATGAATTTTCTCTTATGGACATTTAAAAAATTTGGTTCCAGATGGATTAACTTGAAAATTTTCTATGTGGGCTTAAGAGAGCTTGTTTCTACAATTGCTTTAAGACTAGCAACCTGTTTCTTCTAATTCTGCCAGACCTGACCAATTGACAAATGTTTTTAATTTCCATTCCCCTGTCTTCTCTTCCTAGCCGCATGAAGCTAGAGAGTGCATCTACTTCCTCCCTGGAGGATCGGGTGAAACGGAATATCCACTCTCTACAGAGAACCTCAGTGGCTCTGGAGAAGAACTTTATGAAAAGATGAAAACCATTCTTTTTCTTATTGGTTTTCCTGAATTTTTCAGGGAGGCTGCTAACCCCTTAAAAATTCTCTTTATAAGAGTTCAGTGACTTCTTCCACAGATTTCAAACCACCACTGTTCAAAGTGACCCTCGTCCATCAATTCCTGAAATACTTTGCTTCCTTTGTGAATCAGTGTGACCTGATTATGAGATCCTAAGTAGCTTTTGCAGTATGCAGAGTGGGTTTTGACTCTGTTTTAATGGGCAGGCACTGAGCCATACCATTGGGAATATTCATCTTACTCTGGAAGGCAGCCTGCTGGGTTTGTGATGCTCATGACACCTCTTTCCTCACACTTGTGTGAATAGACCTATTTCACTGCCTCAGGATAGATCATACCATTCTGATCTCTCTCCAGAGCCACTTGGATAGATTGTGCTAACTGGGATACATGAATTTATTTGATCTAGTAAATAATATAACAGAATGATGTCAGATTAGGGAACAGCCAAGAGAGTGACAAAGGACCTGGAAGAGAATACAAAAAGCTCTAAGTGAACTGTTAACTATTTGGTTTGTAAAAGTATAATGTGTATATGTACAAATGTATATTTTTTTACATGCTTTTAAAAAAAAGTTTAGCTTTGTGAGAGTATCTTGTTTGCTAAGTGATTTTATTATGTAATATAGTACAGCCACATTGAACCTTGTGAGTGGCGCAGTAAGGTAGGTCAGCTTATTTTTCTCTGAATAGGGCACATTTAGGAGAAGCCTGGGTTTATCAATAGAATCTAGGCTATCTATCTGATCTCCCTGCTCTGAGTCTCCCCTGTGTGAGCAGTGCAGCAGTATAGGCAAATTTTTAGGAGTCAGGACCACATTGCTATTATGTTCCCTGCTCCTAAAAGAAAATAAAATGGAAGCTGTTTATTACATGGCTTCTTTTTTTATCATGTACAATGCTAGATTTTCAGGGGTTGTTTCCTACTATTTTGTAGCTATTAAAAAAAAAAAAAGTTCCCCCAAACAAAAACAAACTCAAGTGGCCACTTCCCTGTTTTAACTGCTTTTCCCTTTATTCCTTCACCAGAAGCCCTCATTTAACAGGGATTTCCTAGACAATTTTTTGCTGAACTTTTTTTGTTTTTGTAAGTGAACATGATATCTTTATTTCATTTTTATGCGAACCCAGTGCCTCACAAGTGCTAGGAAAGCGTTCTCTACCACTGAGCTACAACCCGCAGTCCCTCCTAGGCACTTCTGAGTCACAAGTTAGCTGAGCTATTTCTTTGTTCTTCTAACTTCTAATTCTGGTTAAAATGTATTTGGATTTTTATTTTTGAGCACTTATGATGCTAGACACTAATGCTTTAAAAAAGTTTTGCCCAGAGAGAATTTAACATACTTTTGTTATTCATTAATCACCTCATTCTACTGCCCTATGCTACAGTTAATTATGGTTTTTATTACTTGGTAATAAAGGTTACATTTATTTTTGTAACTGTCAAGAGTAGCCACGTGGATCACCGAGTTTTCTTACTCCTGTTATAGAAAGAATGTTGACCTGTGGTTTGTGTTGAATATATAGAGATCCTTGTCTTATGTAACAGAACGTGGGCCGTTTACTTAGATTTCACGAACTAAGCCAGAAAATAAGACGATTATTAGGGTATGTGTCTGAGGTGCCCACAGGTTCTTAACTTGACCCTTGGGGCGCAGGAGAACTGCAGGCAGGTGGGTGGGCGCGGGGCCCATTCATAAACCCAGGGTTCCAAGCTGCCCCTCTCATTGGCCCTGGGGGAAAGGGGCGTGCCCCACGGGTGGAGTGCGCCCTGGGCCTTGGGGAGTGGGAAAATCCACGCTTGGGTGGAGCGAGGGGGCGTTCCTTGGTTTTCCAGGCTGGACTTCCTTTTCCCCTTGCTGTGTTCCTCCTCGCTCCCCCGGGGTGGGGATGGTATGTCCCACCCTCCTCGCATTCCCGCCCCTCCTCCTTTCCCAAAGCAGAGGCGTCGCCGCCATCTTGGCACCTGAGGTTGAGGGAACGATCCAAGCCCGGGCTTTTGAAGGGGGGATTAGGACAGGGAGTTCCTCCCGCGGTACACAGTGAGACCTGCCCATCCCTCCTCCTCTCCCTGCTCCGGCCCGGGGTTCTGAGGCTTGCGGGGGACGGCGGGATTTCTGTCAGGCCCGGGGAGGAGGGGCGGCCGCTGCCTCCCCGGGACGGGCGGTACCACCCGGGTGGGGAGGAGACGGCCTGGTGACGACGGGGCGGTGGCACCGCCTGGGGGCGGGGGGCGGGAGCGGCCAGCTCCCTGGGGCGGGACGGGGAGGGCGGGGCGTGGGGCGGACGGAACCAACGGGGTGGGGTGGGGAGGTAACGGGACGGGCGCGACCATGGCGCGGTGAGGCAGCGGGGGTGGGGATCGGTCCGGGGGAGGCCTGGGGCCGCTGGCTTGTGCGCTGTCTTCGCCGCCCCCCCTTTTGCCGCCGCCGCCGCCCCGGGCATGTCGTCCAACTGCACTAGCACCACGGCGGTGGCGGTGGCGCCGCTCAGCGCCAGCAAGACCAAGACCAAGAAGAAGCATTTCGTGTGCCAGAAAGTGAAGCTATTCCGGGCCAGCGAACCGATCCTCAGCGTCTTGATGTGGGGGGTGAACCACACGGTAACCAGCTCCCCCGCTTGTCCCCTTGCCCCTAGCCCTCGCCCTGCGGGCCCTGAGGGTGACGCCTGCAGCGCCTGGCCAAGCCACTTGCACGCACCCCCGCCCACCCTTGCTTGCAGTCCGGCCGCGGTGCGCTCCCCGAACGCCACGCGAGGCCTGGTGTCTCCGCGGTGTGCGGTCGCGGTCTTCCCTCCAGCCCCTCTGGCTTCCTGCGTCCGTGTGCTCGTTTCGGGCTACCCCTGGAGCTCAGAGGGAAGGCCTGGCTGCAGCGGAATCCCTTTGGTCCCCTCTGACTCGCTTCTCATCTCACCCTGTTAGTTACATGTGTATTCCTCCTTGCCCCTCGTAGCTGGCTGCAAGATCATTGTCCCGTTGACAGGGCAAGTGGCACTGGCCTGCGTGAATATTCCTCTGTGTATAGTCGTTTGGTTGGGGTGGCTGCTCAAAGTTTCCCATCCTCCAGGCCCTACTATGGAAATCTCCCTGGATTTGGTTTTTTCTTGAACGAGATGTATCGACTGGAGAAGCACAGGTTCTTTGGAGTACAGACACGGTACTAGGGTCCTTCTGGAAGAGGGAGGAGAGTAAATGTAACAGTCTTGAGAGTAGTAGAGGCCTGATTATAAGGACTATTCATAATTTAAATAATGTGTCTTCCCTGTTCTGTGGTGTTCATTTCAAAGACTGACTTTTCTACTTTATGGTTCTCAAGGATGTACTAATGGTGACTGTTGTCCATCAGCTTTGGATCTTGGGGTGTTTTGAGATTGTCCATCAGCTCTGCCAGGAAGTTGGATCTGGATACAGAATTTGAGCTGGGAGACTTTTTTAGAGCTGTTTGTTTAGGGTCTGTCTTCTCTTCTAGACACTTGCTCTTTGCCTTCTGACCATTTCTTTGTGAGTTCCTACACTGGGAATGAGTAGGGGAAGTAAAAAGACCTGAAGCACCACCTTTGCCAGCTATAAGTTTGGAATGAGGAAAATGAAGCTTTGGGTTTTCTGTGGACTTCAATTCTTTAGATTCCCTGGTTTTTCTGAACTCTTGAAATTAGACCAAATGATGACCAGGGATCCAAGACTTTGCTTTGCTTTGGTAGAGGAGCTAGATGTGGCTTTGGCTGGAGGTTGATGAACCATAGCCTGAGCCATGGTTTTTTATGATACATCTGATATAGAAAAGCACATGTTATATGTGAGGTTTTAGTTGGTCATGGGTAAATTGCCTTTCATTGTCATTACTGGGATTAGTGAGGGTCCTGGCAGGGTAGTGAGTACACTGGTTTAATGTTCAGACCTCTAGGAGCCGCTTTGGGCCAACAATCCAGCAGAATTTGCTCCTCCTGCTTCCTGCTGCCACCAGGGTCATCTGGCAACATTTTGTGGGAAACTGGGTCATCAAAATGTGAACCCTGTGTCCCTTTCTGGAAGTCATTCCTTGATTTTATTCTCTATCCTGCATCTCATAGAAAGCGTTATGTCTCTGTAGAGAACTGGGAGAAGCCTAAGTTTGAAATAGTTGGAAGGAACTTGGGTCCTGTGTGAAAGAGTAGCTTGCCTGTGATTACAGCAAGAGATGGTGTTCATTGTCCAGCACCACAGGGCTCTGTTTTCTTTGCCTCCTGTTCCCTTTCTTCACATCCCAGGATAGATGGGAGCTATAGTCTTGCTAGAAAATCTGAATATGTGCTCTGGGGTGTGTGCTTGTGCATGCCGTTTCCTGAGGGTGGTGCTTTGTCTGCTACTAGATAGCAAGTCTGCCCAGGCAATGAGATGAAAGCCTTTGAATGGCAGATGGACATGGTATTCACCTTCTTCTTTGCCAACTTTAAAACAGTTTGATGCTGGATGTAGTGGCACATGCTTGTGATCCCAGCAATTCAGAAGGCTGAGACAGGAGGATAGCAAGTTGGAGGCCAGCCTGGGCAACTAATACTGGCCTCTCGTATTTTGAGATACGAGACCGTATCTCAACAATTAAAAAAATAAAGGGTTGGAAGTGTAACTCAATGATAAAAGTGCAGTTAAGAAAGTTTGAGGAGCTAGCTGGAAAGGCATTGACTTTTAAGCAAGAGCCATGCATCTAAATATGAATGAGTATACCTGGGTGGGATTGATATAGAGCACCACTACCCTGGACAGGTAAGCTTTAGAGGTGAGTTAGTCTCTTGTTTTATTGCTTCATTCTAATCTACAAGAAGGTGTAGTAATTTAGTGTCACCATCTGGGAAGTGGAGACACATGCCCAGAAGAATATAAAATCTTGCAATTCTCTTGGGGATCAGGGCCACTTGGTTTTGGTGGATCAAGCCTTTCTTGGAGGTTCCCTTCCTTCAGAAGCCTGATGTCACAACTTTTTTCCATCTGAGTTTTCAGATATCCTCTCTTCTTTGATTCCTTACCATTTAAGCATCTAGTATACTGGTGTATAGTAAATCAAATATTAAGGATGGATGTCATTTCTTCTGCTTTTTTTTTTTTTTTTTTTTTGGTGCTGGGGATTTAACCCAGAGATACTTCTACTGAACCACAGCCCCAGCCCTTTTTATTTTGAGACAGGGTCTTGTCAAGTTGCTTAAGTCTTCACTATATTTCTGAGTCTGTCTTTAAATTTGCGATCCTCCTACCTCAGCCTCCTGAGTTGCTAGGATTATAGGTGTGTGGCACTGTACCTGACTGGTTATGTCTTTATTTAAAGCAAAAGCCAGTTATCTTCTCATGAGACAGTTGGTTTAATTCTAGGTGGAAAAAGAAAGGTCTTTGAACTCAGTGTTTTTTTTTATTGTTTTTAATATTTATTTTTTAGTTTTTGGTGGACACAGCATTTTTATTTTATGTGGTGCTGAGGATCGAACCCAGCGCCCTGCGCATACCAGGCAAGTGCGTTACCGCTTGAGCCACATCCCCAGCCCTGAACTCAGTATTTTTAAAGGAGCTCTTCTCATGGACAAGAGATGCAGCCCCTGGACTTTGTGTAGGAAGACTGTAGTGAAAA